CCTAATTGCCTGTGTTATGAAGGTCCTCCTCCCTTTGCCTGGCCCCAGGCTGGCTGGTGTGGATGCTCCCACTGTGCTCTCAGGAGCAGCCACTGCTGTCGAGGACATGCCCCAGTGATGGGCCAAACCCATCCAGAGGTCTCAGGATAAAATGCCGCTGCCCTGGCGTTGCCTTGGCCGTTGGACCCCAGCCAGCAGCACCCAGAGGTCAATGTCACGGCTGGGTGTTGGGCACCTTGTGACAGCCCCATGTCATGGCTGTGCTGGCCTGGGCTCCATCTTCCTCCCCCTGTGCAGAGTCATCTCCCACCCAGCCTGGGCAGGGGACGATCTCAGCCCGGTCACCGACGCAAGACTCGGGTACAAATCTGTCTTTATTCAGTGGCCGACAAAGAGCCCCCTGGGCTGGAGGTGACTTCACGATCACTGTAGCTTGTGGCTTTTGGCTTTCAGACCCTTTCACCCCACACCAGTATGCTCTTTCCCCCTCTGCTGCTGGCAGCTCCCCAGGGCCGGAGGAGGAGGTGGCTGTACAGGGCAGACCAGCCCCTCGCCCTGCTCTGCCCCATGGCACCCCAGTTGCTCCCTCCTGCTCACGCCTTGTCGCCGGTGCCTGCGGGTGCGAAGCTGACAGGCTGGTAGCCCGGCTTGTCATCCTGCTTGCGGTAGTACATCCGTGTCACCACTGCCAAGATGAAGGTCTGGGGGATCAACAGCTGCATGTTCATCTCTGGAAGAGGAGAAGGGTCATTTGAAGCTGCCTTTATCCACCATGCTCATTCCCCACACCCTGCTGTGTGGTGGAGGGGCTCAGCCGGGAGCACATCATGCTGTTCCCCCATCTCCCAACTTACGCTGCGACCTGGCCTTGGAGGAGAAGGGTGGAGAGCAGGCGATGTTGCCGTTGTTGGCCAGGATGCTGAAGATGGCGGGCTGCAGTGCCGTCAGGAGGAGGAGAATCTGCAACCACCATCACGGTGAGGGCCGTGTCTTGCCAGGCTCTGCCCTTCACCTTCCCCTCTCTCCTGCAGCCAGACCTGGCTCTCACCTACCGGTGGCTCCTGCCCTGCCATCTCCTCCCATGCTGCCTCATCCTCTTCGTGCCAGAGGAGCCCCTCACCTAAGGGGGAGCCAGGCAGGATGGGGGCTCACCTGGAAGCAGAAGAACTTGGCCTTGATGTTCTGCTCGGTCAGGTGCAGCCGGGCCTGCCGGAAGAGGATGGCCAGGGCCCACAGCCCAAAGAGGGTGGAGGCGCCGACCACAGTGTTGATCCAGAGGGCCACGCTCTCCGCCGAGATCTGACGGGGGGGACACAGAAAATGCACTTGGGCTGACCAGGCTGCTGGGCAAGGTGAGGGCTGGTGGAGGCTCCCTGTCCAGGATGTCACCCTGCCCATCCCCATGCCCTGGCACTCACGTCAGCGGGGTTGTAGTTCCCATCGGTAGCCAGAACCAGCCCCAGGAAGACGGCGACCACCCTGCAGAAGGCGTACTGGAAAGTCCCCAGCATCAGCAGTTGAAGCTTTCTCCTGGCACAGCAAGAGAGACTGGTAGCACCCTGAGGTCCCTGAGCCCCTGCCCAGGGACTTCTCTTCCATCCCAGCAGAAGCAGGGGGTGAAAGCCCTCCCTGGGGGCAGGAGGTTACCCCAGCTCTCCCTCACCTGCTCATGATCATTCGGGGCAGGCAGGGGCAGCAGCAGCAGCAGGGCCCAGTGCTGACCACCATGGGTACGTCCTTCAGGGTGCTGAGCACCGCCTCCTTCCCCCCAAAGCCCTCCACCATGACCAGCATCAGGAGGTAGAAGCAGATGGAAAAGTACCTGGGGAGGAGGAGGAGGAAGGCAGGTCAGGCCCCATGGGCTCCCTGGTGCCCCTGCCCCAGGGTAGCCGATACTCACGCCGTGGTAGCCATCTCCACCACCATCATGGAGCGTGGGATCCACAGCCCGAAGCAGCTGACCACGGACACAACCTGTGGGAGACATGAGCTTGGCACACTGCTGCTCCCCCCTCCTGTGGGCTGGCACCCCTTGGGCAGCCCTGGCCCCCCAGGGTGCTGCCCCCTACTACCCCCGCACTCCAGCTCACCGTAGGGGCCAAGCTGCTCCAGCAGAGGGTCTTCATCTTGATGGGGCAGCGGATCTTGCGGGTGAGGTAGAAAGCCTCTTCCACGAAGATTGCGACTGACAGCAGCGTCATGATGGTGGCGAGGCCCATGATGGCGAGCTGGGCCATGTCCAGCTCTGCCGGGAAGGTGCAAGAAGTGGGCTCCATCCTGTCCTGTCCCCCCTGGGGCCACCACGGCAGGGAGCTGCCACCCAACCCCCCACTCCACAGATTTGGGAAGCCCCTTGCCGCATGTTCTACATGTCTGGCTGTGCCAGAGCTGGTGCTTCTGCCCTGCTGCACCTGTGTCCCATGTCACCTGCCCTGCTGCGGACCCTCCCTGGGCCACCCCCGTCCCTGTAGGCGGGGCTGCAGGGTGGGAGGCTGAGGACCTGACAGCACCCCGCTGCCTCCCCATTCCTCAGGGCTGCTCCCTGCCTGCACCCGTACAGCCACCCTGCCTCTTCCATCCCTGTCCTGCTCCTGCCAGTGGCAAGAGGAGGGTCCCCCCTCCCCAGGCCCCCCACCTACGCTGGAGCAGCTGCCGGGAGGTGGGCGGCAGGGAGAAGCAGGCTGCCGGCACGCTGAAGTTGCTGATCAGCATCTCCACCAGCGGACGGGGGAACCTGCGGAGAAGAAGATGAGTGCTGCATGAGGGGCCGGCGGGGACACCCAGCCCCGCAGGGTCCCCAGGGTCCCCCAGCTGGCTCGCCTCACCCCCAAGCACCTCCCTTCCTTTACAGAGAGAATAACCCAAAATCCTGCTCCAAAAAGTTGGATTTGCCCGGCTGCAAAGCGTCACGGGGGTCCCAGTACCCACCTGGGGTCCTCTGCCAGCTCCATGGGGGGGTCCATCCTGCTCTGCTCCTCACTGGCTCTGTCCCAGCGGCTGCAGGGCCCCAGCTGGCTCGCCTCACCCCCAAGCACCTCCCTTCCTTTACAGAGAGAATAACCCAAAATCCTGCTCCAAAAAGTTGGATTTGCCCGGCTGCAAAGCGTCACGGGGGTCCCAGTACCCACCTGGGGTCCTCTGCCAGCTCCATGGTGGGGTCCATCCTGCTCTGCTCCTCACTGGCTCTGTCCCAGCGGCTGCAGGGCTGCTCAGCGCTGCCTGCCTCGGCTCCTCTCGCCAGCCCATGGGGTCAGAGTCCCCAGGGCAGGGACCGCGGGGAGGCCGCCGCGCCTCGTTCCAGTTTAACCAGTGGCCTCTGGCGCTCCCTTCCCTCTCCGGCTGCTGCAGGCACCCATTGGCATGCCCCCACGCTGTCCCGGCCCCACCAAGTGCCTTGGCCGCCCGGTTATCGACCCGGGATGCTGAGGGAGGCAGTTATCGCCCACGCCAGTGCGCCTGCACGTCCGCAAAGCTTGGGGAGCAGGGCACCTGTGCTGGGGCTGTGCTGCCTGCGCATCCCCTCGGGCAGCCTGGAGATGGGCCCATGGTGCCGGGGGTCCCCGTGGTGCCACACAGGGTCCAGGACGCATCCTCGTGTACCCTCAGGAGCAGCGGCCGGGTGGGAGGTGATGCCGTGGGAAGCCTGCCAGACCCCGCATGGCTCCATGAGCCTTGAGAGGTGTTTGCAATGGCTCGGCTCCCGGCAGCCTGGGGCTGAGCAGTTCCCACAACGATAGAGGGCAGGGCTGGCCCAACGCTCAGCACCCCGGCTCAGTACCCCAGCCTCTTGGGACAGAAGCAGAGCCCAGGCCTGGGGAGGGGGACAGCGGGCTGGAGGGGCCACACTGAGCGGGCACCTGGGGTGTTAGGTGTGGGGAGCAGTGTACCCTGGTCCTAGATGGATTCCAGCATCCTCATGGGTCCCAGGGGTGCCCAAGGCTCCTGGTGTCTTCCCAGCACCCCAAGGAAAATGAGCCTTGGTTTGTACTGGATCCC